GGACATAAAGATGTAGGTACACTGGCTAAAACGTCACTCAACAGCTCAACACTGTGCACGAACACAACTCACAAGACCAGTCGTGCGAGACACCGAACTGTCACGTTAAAGTCCATAAGCGTGAGATCAACGTCGTTGGACAGTCCGCGGCAGCGTGACCAGCTACCGTAGACACGATATGAGCGTATATTACTCGTAAGGTAGGGGTCTATAACACTGGTCTTAGATGCGCAACTTGCAAGGACACGACTGTTCATTACGGCATACCGAGCCGAACGTAGATTATTGTATGTATACTAGGCCGAGCCGAACTCAATGTAAGTAAGTTGTGACAGTAAAAATAAAATGTAACGAAGTTAATAACCTTTAAATATTTTTATTAAAAGCACTTTATTGACACAATAAAATTGTTACATTGATATAGACGACAATTATAATCTTATCCTTACGTATGTATAAAAATAGAATAATCTGTAAAATGATTGTTGTGCAATAATTTTTAATGAGACAATACAATACAACAGGATATTGAATGACAAAACATGTAAGAGTCCTAAATTACACAACACAATACAATCTAAATAATTACATTACGATTACCATATTGGCAAGATAAAAGGGAACATAAAAAGCAGGGACGATTTAGTTGTTCCTTGAGCATATTAATAAAATATATTATATTAAAATTATAATAGAGATCTGATATTATTATAACTTTAACCGAATGAATTTCAGTATATATATACATATTTTCCCTAAAACCCTCTCAGAAATGAGGGGAAGCCTGTGCCCAGCAGTGGGACGTATATAGGCTGTAACTTTACTTTACTTTATATATACATATCATGCTAAACTATTGAAGATCGTAGAAGGTTATTTCCAATTTGTCTATTTTCTTAAGTGAATGCAGTGGTTTTTTTTAAATAACCGGTTTATATCTTAGTATTTTATGTAACAAAAACTGTATATTTTTAATGTTATTTATTAAGAAATATTATTTTCCAGTTTGTTATTTATCCAGAATATTTTTATATATACAAGACAAAATATATGGCAATACTCGATCTACGGTTACATTGATTGTGTTTGAAAAAAGGTTTATTATATATTTTACTAACCGATCAAAAAAGGAGAAGGTTGTTGCAGCAAATTGGAGGATAAGTTCTTTTTTTAAATGTTATTGCTAATTTTTAAGTTTATTATGTTGGGAATGTAAAAATTGCGAACTTACTGGGGTTATTATAAAGGGACTTTAATTTCAAGACCGGCGACAAGAAACACAACAAGTGAGAAACGTTCTGCAATCGTCAATCTGCCGACCAAGTCCAGACATTAAGGCCGAATACAAAGCGAATGATCTTGCTCGTTTCGTGGCGAACCGAGCGCTCTCTAGTATATATCTATGGCGCGCTGTCTTTCGAACATCATATCAGTATGCAGAGTAATGAATAACAGAGAGAGCATTGTTTACTTCTTAATAATTAAATCTTTATTATTTGTAATATTAGTTCCTACAGATTATAAATTCTGTACTTTATTTGTTAAAAACATGCAAAAATAATAATTTTTCCTCTTTATAATATTAGTATAGAAGTTAACTTCTGTAAAGTAGTTATTTTGTAAAGAAAAATTATTAAATTGACATCGATTTTTTTTCTCTGAATTGGTGCCTCGTACGTAAAATACTTCACGTAACTGAATTGTAAACTGTTTGTTTTATAAGACGCCGTAATGTAAATTGCATAAATAATAAAGAAAAAATTAATAAGTCCCTGTTTGCCCAATAGTAGGGGTAGGTACTGCGTGTGTAAATTCTCACAAGAATACTTCGACCGGTCAATCACATAATACCCGTAGTATGTCGGTTTTTCTTAATTATGTACTTACACCATAGTTTCGGACAATACATTGACTATAACATTGTTTGCGGTCTCTGTGCTTGCACTACTCTGTACATTATTTTCCGACTCAGTCATGATATTTACATTTCTAGAGTTTCACGCAGAAACGTATAAATAATCAGTCTTGCTAATGTAAATTAGTAAAAATCCAGCCTATTAGGCAACCTCAACCAAAAAAGTAAGTAAAAATATAAACTGAAAGTGGAACGTACCACGCTCGAAGAGCGTTCTTGCGATAAACTCTCTTTGTTTTACCACTTAAGTAATATTTTTTTCCTACGCCTATTCACATTTATAGTCACTTAAAGGCGTGTAAACCCCTAAATTAACGATTTTCAATACGGACATAACTGACTATTGTCACCATTACGCCACACATCGAAGCGCCTGGTAATTTATTACGGCACACTTTTATCTGACAATATTATTATTAGGCGTTTGTAATTAAAACGAATTATGTTAATAAAAAAGAATTGTATCGCAAAAGGTTGAAAATGAAGAAGACCTTATCCTTCGGAATCACAATACAAATATTTTTCGTAAAAATAATTTTTCCTAAATTTATATTGACAGTTTTGAAAAAAATAATAATTTTGAGATATCATTTCTTAACACATTTTTTAAATTGGTATATTGACTTATTTTAAAATTTTAAAAAGGCAGACACCTTGTAAAGGAACTGAACAAACCTACAAAGTATGCTTTAACGCTTAGAATTACTTCAGGTCAAAGTTCTAGTGAAAAGAAATACATAAAGTTTCGCCAGTTCTCTTCGTATTCGGCCTTAAGGCAAATCCTTCCTGTACGGGAGCGGTCCACGTCCAGCAGTGTCTTACGGGAACGTAAAGAATTTAGTAGAATTCATATTAATATCGACTTAAATATATTGCATGTTAAATAAAAATAATTGAGTTGAGTATGTTTCCTCACGATTAATTCAAAGCTATGTTTTTGACTAGGACTTAAGTTACAATGCATTAAAACCATAGAATACTTTAATACACAATAGAATAGCTGTCAAACTCATTTTGTATGAAGATCGGTGTCGCCGGGAGCACGCATACAAATAATTACTAATCACTACTAGAAACTCGATTCGCTGTATTGACTGACTGAGCGAATTTACACATTTTAGACTTTTGATTAATGTTTTTGACACATTAATATTTCTTTATTAAGCTATTGCATAACTTTTATCGCGGGCTTTGAGCGCGGCGACTGAATCAAGAAATTCCGTAACGAAAATAAACCTAACATCCCCACTCCGACAGGCACAGCGGTGCGGCGTTGAAAGCCGTGCATCGTCTAACGTCGTTTCAGTGGTTTCAGTTCGGCATACTTCGGCAAGGTGTTTGTGTGCGTGCGACTAGACGTATTTAACTTCTCATTTATTCAATAAAAGAAAAAATTGTATTCTTATCGGTCACCACCCTCAGAAAGTGTAACTTGAATTAATATTAAAAAAAAAAACAAAGGAAAAAAATACTGCATAAATAATTATAATTGCATAAGTTGATAAAAATGCTATGCAATAGCTTTACCGCGGCAGTTCCCGAGTGCCACACGTACTTTTTTGATTGTAATATTTATAAAATATAAATAATTTCGACTTACTGGTTGTAGGATATGTCTCCTTTATTTAAATTCCATTTCCCGCTGTTCTTTCGACACGTAATCATTGCACAATTTGCCATTTTTTAAATAATTTGCATGCAGCGACGCTTGACACGAAAATTGAAAACGATTGATTGTGTTGACATTTATACGTGTGAATTGACATGTTAGTGGCTACAAGGGCTCCGCCCACTCCCCCGTTCTATTATGTATGTATTCTATGATTGAAACTTTGGCGATTTACCAATACCATACCATAATATTATGTAAAACTTGATGACAACAAAATGCCTTGGAAATATACATATTAATATTTTTGACTATTCATACAATTTTTAAATAAATCACATGAGCATCTGATTGCATCATGGGTACTTATTTAATATTATCGATATATGAGACAACGAATTAGAAACAACCAGATCTGCAAATATTTATTTGATACATAATTTAGCACAATTCACTAATATTGTTTTCTTAAAAGTGATTCATCATCCTTTATGTTTATAACTTTTGAAATAAAAAATATTTTCAGATGTAACAACCTTATAAAATTGTAATGTCACTAAATATTGCTAGCCTTTTCATAGCCAATAAGATGGTATGGTGGTAGCCGTAGTCCGATTCTGAGCTCATTTATAATGAAAATGGCGATTTTATTCGGTATTATAATGTAATTTTTATTTTCTTCGTACTCATTGTATGTTGAAATTTAATACTTTATTTTTGCACACTACTGTTTTACGTGAATTAATTCAATTTTATATTGTTTTTTCTTATTAAAAATACTTTTTTATACATTCTTCTCAAAATTGTAAAATCACTTGTTAAAGAAACAAATTATCAAAATTAAAAGCAAATTTAAATTTGATTTTTTTTTCTTCAATTTTTGTATTAACAAAACTTATTATATTAGTGTTGTTAATAATTAAACATGGGTATATAAAACCAAGTAACATCAACAGCATATCAGTCCATATAGGTAATAAAAGTATAGATTACGAATTGATAGAAAATAATTTTAAGATATAAAAAATATACTTACTGACTAAAACAATTTTTTTAATTGTATTTTCTGATTTCTTTCGCATAAATTCTAAAATCTAATTATTTTCACATCACAAGAGTTTAAAAAGAACGCCATCTTTTTTAATATTGTTAGAACTTCCCAAGCGTATAAATAACACTTAAAGAGTAATTACAATTTTTTTTCTATCTTTTTTTCTATCATTAAATGCTATCAATATTTGAATCAAAGCATTATATAAATAAATATTTTTTTATCATTTAAAATATTTAAAAAAAAACTCTTGTCTTTACAAGCGCAATAATTACGTTGTATCAGAAAAACTCGCTGTACAATGTTACAGCATTTGTAAAATATAATTTTTGACAATTCTTAATACCGATAATAATATTGCATTTTGGAAGATAATACTATTTAGCATAAGCTCGCTTACGTAACTCCATATTGGTTATGTCAAGTTATTGAGTGGTTTGTGATTTTGTAATCCTCTTTGCTCCCCGGTTCGGCGGACCTTTCGGTTTCGCAAAAGCCGGTCTGTGGAGGTTTCTTTTCGGATGTATTTCATCGTATAAAAATTCTTCGGTCAATTCTTTCCCGTCATCGATTTCCAACTGGAACAAAATTAAAAAGTCCTAAATGTATATTTTGGTCAAATATCAGAAAAATTCAACGAAAAGTTTACTATTATCATATAACACGTGATATTTCTTTTAAATTTATTCTACACCATTATTGTTAACATGTGTTAATTGTTAAGGAGATGAGCTGAGAACTCGCACAGCTCGAGTTGAGAGTGCAGCGAATTATCTCACATTATGCAGGGACTTGGCCTGGCTCACCTCTGATGGTTCGGCTATATATTCATTAAGGACGCGTTTGCACATCTGACAAAAATGAAACTAAACATAATGTAAGTAATAATTAAATGTTAATAAAAAAGGAGTAACGTAATAAATATCACATTAATTATGAAATACTTTATAATGGACTTTTGTTAATAATTTAGTTACAATAAGCAAAAAACATCGATAATATTTTATTTTTTAATCGATATTTTAATATTTATATTTTCTTGCAATCACTAGATCCATCTGTCTATATTACAATAACATAGTGGGAAGAGTATAAAAATAACCAACAGCCATATCTTAAGGTAAGCATGGACAAGGTGAAGAAGTTCAAAGTTTGTTGTAACTATAGTTATTGGAAACACAATTTCAATAAGTAACTAAGATACATTTTCGGTAAAATCGGTTAAATTTGTCCAACGTTAACAAACAGGTTACGGAACTGCAAATTGAGACTGTAGTGTGATTACTTAACTAGCAGGAGTCGTGTTTGGCTATGTTTTGAGGTTTGATCTTTCGTTTCATTGTAATGCTGTGTAAATAAATGTGTCAGTATCGATTATAAGCGGATGTATTTAATGTCATTTAATTTGATTTGTCATTCATAATATCATTTGTCAGTCATTAATATCGACTATATAAGAACCCTCTCAGAAATGAGGGGAGGCCTGCGCCTAGCAGTGGGACGTATATAGGCAGTAACTTTACTTTACTTTTATATAAGAAGAGTTTTACCATTGAAATATGTATATTTCTGCTTATACTTATTTTTATTATTTAAATACGAAAAGCGCTACGTTATTTACACCATAATGCAGTACCTTCCTGAATAATGTCTCTTAGTGAACACAGTCGAAGGCCTTAAAATGGTCTAAGGTATGCTCGAGACGGAACCTTTTCGACCAATTGGTGATATATTGAATATGGGTTACATTAACCCTTAATGGACGAGCATGTATGCGCAGACATATGGATGTGAAAGAAGCGAAAGGTGTGTCAGAATCGTGTCAAATGGAAGTCCGTTATCTTTGTCTACCATTAATGTTTATGAAAATCAAACCTGAGATGTGTGCATTAATAAAAAATATCATTTCACAAATATTTAATAGTAAATATACTTACTCTTTTAGCAATTACAACACCCATCTTTTCTATTATTTCTAGGAAGGTTCCAATGCAACTTGAATATAACATTCTTTCTTTTATACTGCAACTGTATCCCGGCATAGAGTAAATGAACACTGGAAAAGCGATAATTTACACATGAGTATTGTTTTGCTTTGCATAATGACTACATCTTAAAAAGATCGAATTTCAAAAATATTCTGTAGGAAATTTGAAATTACAAGTTTTCCATTTTGGACAAATAAGATTAATAAATATATCCTCTATCGTGTAGCGGAGGCGTAATGGAATTCACTACCTCATATCATCCGATGGATGTCATAAGAGGCGGTAATGGGAAATCGAAATAAGATATGGACAACAGCACGATCGTGATAACAGCACAAAAATTGCACCTGCCAACCTGTGAAACAATCTATTTTATTTATTTATAAGGGTCACCAACAGATGATACACAAAATCTAAAACAAAACACAAGCATTGTAAGAAACATCTAATGTGCTCCACACAATTCGCCACGCGAAAAACGAATTACCGTGTCCTGTACGCCAAAGCAAAAAGTAAACAATAATACCTACGAAAAAAATAGTGTTGCCAAGAGTTGATATATCGATATCAGGAAATAACTTGATTTTTGTTGGTTTTTTATTCAATAAATGACTCTTTATAATCTGGTATGTTTAATTTAATCGTGTGCTGTCTTCCACTCTTTTCATATATGTACTTTGTACATAAATAAAAAAACAATAAAAATAAAATAGTAGTACACAACAGAATGACTCTCCATCGTTATGAATTCACTGTCACAACTGAACGACAACGGCGTGGCTGACCTTCCTTTTTGAAACTTTCTTAGTGTCGCACTTTGTGTATCGATTTCGAAATCGATCTAACCAAAATATACACAGATCGACTCAAAATATTTTATGAGTCTGGGGAGGCGTAGGCTAAGTGAAGCACAGAATAAAAGTCTTACGCTCTTATGCCAATCAGTGGCGAAGCTAGAGTTCAAAGCTAGGGCAAGCCCAAGATATAAATTGATAAAAATATAGATTGGTGTTTTTAGCAGTTTTATAAAAATACACCAATCTTGATCTGTCTCCACGCTTCAGTTTCATATTCAGTGCTGCCAAGGACGTGTTTAACAAAGCACACAGAAGGCATACCACTGCTAGATAGATTATATTACATATCAGCAATTGCATAGCTTCGGTGGCTTTGAAGAAAGCCGTTTGGGTTTCTTTAAGCAAAAGAAAAAAATATTTACATCCAATACAATACATGAACAAAAGTAAAACACGAACAAAGTACAAACTATGTACAAAATTAAAAAAAAAATTATTTACATTCTAATGTATAAGAGATAAGATAAGTGGAATCGTCTCGCTTTCTTCAAGATTTAATTACGTCCACGTAAAATGTTGGTGAACGTTTGAATAATTGATAAGTCTGAAATACGCTCTTAACCTTGTGTATTATCTCAACAAAGTTTAAAGATTTCCTCTCCGATTATCATTATAACACTTCAATTCATCACAAGGAACACTATTATCCTCCATTTTCATTAAAAATCATTAAAAAAGCATACATTTTGAACTCGTAACATTAAATCGCTTAAGATAAGTACACAGAGTAAATAAACATTGAAACGTGAAATGAACTTGCAAACGTATTGCCCGCGCGCCTCCGCTTTTAACGTCTATCCTTGACCACGGCGCCCAATGAACTGATAATCGATGACGCGCTAAGGATGCGCCAGAGTTGAGATATTAGATTTATTATACGAAGTTGATTTGATGAAATTTTCTTTTATTTACGTATTTGATGATAGTTTTATGCTTCTTACCTTTCGTTTTATTCAAATATCAATAATAATTTAAAAAATAACACGTTTACGTTTAATTTCGAATAGTTTTTAATAAATCTATGCCTATCGCATTACAACACTAGCGGTCAAACATGGACGACTTTGGGGCGTGCTGGACATAGTATTTGCTTAGATAAAAATCCATTTATTTTAGTTCAATGTTTCTTAGTACTTGTGGCTTTAGGAGACTTGTTTTTTATTCTGACATGTTGCTGGGTTATTCTTTTTTTGGGGAGTGTAGAATTAAAATACCAGTAATAAGTTTACAATGTCTATATTTCATATATTTGTGGGTCGGGTTTTTTGTCAAATATAGACGTGGTTGGCGCTCAGTGCTGGTCAAGTATAGGCGACCTTGGCGCTCAAAAGGTTAAATAATGTAAAATTTTGTATTACAGTAGCAAAATTGGGTACTCATGTGAAATTAGAAAGGTTTACACTTATCATCCAAATAACGTAACATTGTTCTTCTGAAATTATTTAAACTGTAATTGAAAATATCCAAATCAGATGGCCTAGATATATCATTATACAGTCGCAACGTTCTGGATTATGATGAATTAAGACCGAGGTTAATTTTGTGAGGTGGGACCATAAACAGCTTGTAGACATTAAAATAAGGTAATCTTTAAGCGTCGAGCATTAATGTTAACCATTTCCAGTAATTGAGGACATTTTTAGAGAAAGCTTAAATCAAAAAAATTGCGCCTGTTAATTACGGAAGACATAAGAACTGCTTTAGCCATTTAGCATTTGAACTTAAGGAGCGAAGATTAGCACTTTAACACACTTATATTCATTACAAAGAACACTCTTTTCCTCCATTTTCACTAAAAATCTTTAAAAAAGTATAAATTTTCAACTCACAATATTTTACATTATAATATATTCGCTCAAGACATACAATGTAACATTGAAATGTGACGTGAACTCGCAAACATATCATCGGCGTCGCCCGCGCGCCTCCGTGTCTCGACTAACTTCATACCTAACGTGACCATACGTCCCCCTTTAGGCACGACGTTCCCGATTTAAAGGTTTGTGTCGCGCTGTCCTTAAAATACGTAAAAATGTCCCGCTTTGACAAACAAAAGCGTGACAATCATGCAAACTCTGTCACCCGTGCCATCATTGTGACACCGCGCGTACCAGGTTTGCCAGCATGGCTTGTATAGTTACGTGATTATTCTGAAAAGCTACACTTTTGAATTTAAAGTTACGAAGTGACAATTTTTAATTAATCTACAATAAATTATCAAATAACGTAAGTTATTTCCAATTAGTATTTATTTGATGTTCACTTCAGATCGTTAAAAGATTCAAACAACTATGTGTTTTATTTATAAACCTATATTAAAGGGCTTCAGATTGAATTTTGGTAACAAGGCCATTCTCAACAGAAAATAGCCATCTTCGCATCTGGATTATATTGCCCCAGTGTAATACTACTGCTACTGAGAATTTTGTGACAGAGAAACCCAATAAATTATTCTTGACCCAACTCGGGTTTCGAACTTGGGACCACATGATCAGCAATTGCGTTTACGACCATTAGACCAAGAAGGCAGTCAAAAGTGTTAAAACTATAATAATTTTAAAGACGTCCCGCTCTGAGGAAAAAATTGATGGTCACTAAAAAGCCGGGCTTTTTATCTCCATACTAATTGCTATTTATACAATCGTAGTTATGTTTCATTATAGAACATTTTGCCACAGATTAGAAAGGGAGCGATGGCCTTCTCGAAAGCCCGGTAAAAAGCCCACGTGTGCGAGGGACATAACCAATGGGTCAATTCAACTCTCCTTATATGTATGACAGCAGTATTGCTAAGGCTACGAGGTCGCACAGAACATACGAGAAATTTGAAATAGTTTGAAACAGTTTACGAGTTATTTTATTACTTGATATTATTGATTGATTCAGCTTGATAAGGCAAGCCGGGCTTCTGGGCTTGTATGGAGGCTCTGCCACTGATTCTATGTAAACTTTTTATAGACTGTAATGAAAAGAAAATACAGGTATGCTCCCTTTAATCGCAGTAACAGATCTTAACTGGACGCGGGCATATTCCATGTCAAAGAGGATTTACTAAAATTGTCATGCTCCATTAAGATATTGATGGCTTTACCAGATGTTCTGCATATAATGCTACTAATTAAGTAAATATAATAAGTACTCTTTTCTGTCTAAGAGTCCGTCGGGGCCTCCTCTTACCTATTCATGTTTCATGCCACCAACCAGCAGTGAAACAACTGTTGTACTTGAGTTATAAGAGTAAGAGAGTGAGTATTGTAGTGTATGTGATTATAAAATGCTAATAAGTATGTAATAAAATAAGGTTCATAAATCGGAATGAAGGTAGTATCATAAATATTGCCTGTTAAGACCCAAGCAGAAATGTCCACTGTTTCGAGCGCACCGCGTCTGTATCAAGAGAGCCGCAGGCGAGAGTGGATGTGTAGTGAAACGTGAGTTTACGTGTGCGTGTGTGAACCAGTGAATTCCTGGCTGTTACAAGTATGATTACAGCCTATGAGGCATTTCATCTCAGTCTTAAGCAGTGACAATACATTTGTGGCTGTCTTTGTTTGAAGTGGGTTGCAAGCGTCCACAGCCTGCAGTAGCCACTTACCTCAGGCGGATCTCACTTGCCGCTACATATTTGTCACTGGTCCCAGTATTTTACTCTCACTTTTAATGTCACTGGCATATACTCGTACAAGATAATTATACTATAATCTAATTAAATGGAATGTTTTCCTTAACTTGGCCACAGTGCTAATAATTATTATGTTATTTCTTATTCTGACTGCCTTGTTGATTTAGTGGGCCTTAGCACAATTGAGCACAAGGGGGACGGAGCGTTGACTTCATTAGATGACCTCTCCAAACAACTTAACATAAAGGCTCAGTGTAAGTAACCTCTTACTAACTTTTGTCTGAATAACATTATTATAATTATATTATCGCTGAACGAAGTCTGAATCACGCTATCGAAGCTTCCAAACGGTTCTGCACATATTATATAAGAAGCTCCCCTGCTTGTATTACATAAGCAGAGTTGGCTGCTCCCCGGGCTGAACACTATACCCAGGGGGTGATCTCGCCTTTTCCTTCAATAGCCAAAATAAAATGGATATTAAGCATGGGCGTTTTCAGTTTTTATCTGCAACGGTTACAAAACCGATATCTAGTTTTCATATCGTTATTGAAAACCGTTTTCAGATATCGATATCAATAGCAATGGTTTGCTACTGAATGTGCAAACGACAACCGAACCATAACCGCAAACTGTACTACCAGTGCAACATGTATTTATGAATTACGAAGATTATTCTAGATTAGAAGTCAGAGCTTCTAATGTTATTGTTATCTTAGATGTAATATTTAAACATGTAAGTTAATATATAAATTTTGTATATTCAATGATATGCAGTAAAAAATTATACCGTCACTGTTACAGCTTATTAAAATACACTGCTGAACACATAGGCCTCCTCATAGATTGTATCATAGGTGGGATATTTGCCACAGTTGCCACGCTTGGCAAGCGGGTTGGCAACCACAGTTTTTTTGAAGTGAAACTTTTTACGGGAGGGCTTTGATTGAAATGCTGATCCGCAACCTTTTTGTATGACGAAAAGTGGTGGGTGTAAACACTACGTACGTACCGGGCATTCGGTCGATCATTCAAGTCGCAAACGCAGGGCATTACATACCATAAAGTATATAGTAGTACAATTACAAGATTACAACGGTCTTTTGTTCAAATACTAATCTTATATTAATTTTATTTAAGACAGTTACCAAGGTACACGTATTTATTTTAGTAAGATTGAGCTGAGCGCACTTCAGTAATAGCGCCATCTACTATGTTGTATAGGTAAAGATATTTTATCGAACAAACATTGATTGACTCTCAAGGTGGTATGTAGGATAGATGCTAGATGGCATAAACCTAAAAAAAGTTGCTGCCTATCTCCTGATTAGTTTCCTTATGTCACCTCTTCTGACACCCACGGGATGATAATTGGGTAGTGAATAAAATTACGTTCACTTAGCGGTCAGCCGCCGTAGAGTCTATATTACCTGAGGATGCCTCGTGTAGAGGCGAAACACGTGTTGTATTATCGTCGATGGTGTGTCTTGCCTGGAATAGTGGTGTTGAGAGTAGTGGTGCTTGGTCTAGTGGTGACGGAGTTAGTGTATGCAATTGAGGGAGGGCGGGAGGTGCGCTTCAATCCAGGTAAGACACATCATTTTATATGTTTAGCGGAAAGTTGCAAAGAAATTTATATTTTTATTTTTTATTAAAATTACGTTCATTCTATCCTTATTTATTTCTATAATTTTGTTACTCATTTTTTTTCTTCAAATTGAGACATAGGATCGGAGTCTGATTTCAAAGTTTATAATTAAAGTGTATTCTTAAGAAGTAAACATAATTTATATACATTTATAGAAAATTATTTTAGTTAGTTTATTTATTAACAGTTATTCAATTCGGCGATTTTCCTTCATGCTTAAATAGGCTTAGAACTAGCAGAAAAGTTTTAAATTCGAATTCTCAATTCAATTCTAAAATTCAACTCTATTAACCGCAGGTTTACCTGATTTGCACTAGCCGCTGATTCGGTTCCGGTGGAAGAAGTGGTCGGAATTGTCTTTTTTATCGAAGCGAGACAATATTTCACCAGCCTAACGCGACAATTTGAAAGTCTATATTCAAAAATGATTAGAAGTCTAAATCAACTTAAACTATACTATGCTATATTATATTTACACATTACACATAATTGTCTGAATTACAACTACCTAATGCACAAAATACACACAAATATTGCAAATAAATGCACAAACGCAACGTCAAAAATTAATAACTTAATGGATGTTATTAGGTATCTTAGCGAATGGCACGAGCACGAGCCACCAACACCAAGTGCGTAATTGTTGCGTTCTAGAAAAAAGCAAATTCTAAACTTTTCATCCAAAATATAAAAAAAACATAAACATAAAATTGCCTAAACCAAATATAATATGATCATACAAAAGCAAGTCTTGTGTCTATTGTCCTAAAAATCATTTAAACTTGACAACTCTCACAACTACACAAACTTATTTGAAATTCGACCTTTTGCTTTAGGTAATTATATCCAGATATGCATTGCGTACCGTGTGAAACTAAAGTTACCAAAACAGAAATTCTCTCTTTCTATCCGAATTTATGATACCGTCGCAAGAACAAAAAACAATGAATATCAATGAAGGACATCGCATCGGTTTAGTTCGTGGGCCGTGTTGGCATATCGTTCCGGTGTTTGCGTTTTACGTTTTACAAATCTAAGCCTTGTGCCTAATGAGCTAAAGATCATTTGAAATTTGATAACTCTCACAACTACACAAACTTAAAATTTAGGCAATTTTAACTATTTAAAATTCGACCTTATTGCTTTAGCTATATATTATATTTCGCAATGTGCACCGTTGTGTGATAACTACCAAAACATCGCAACGATATCCATATTCGCTTAATCTCTTTCTATACTTATTTAAACTATCGTTGCAAGAACGAGAGCGATGAATATCAACGAAGGTTAGTGGGCCGTTTTCAGTTTTAGGATATCGTTCCACAGTTTGCGTTATGCGTTTCGGTTTCGTTTTAGTACGTTGGTTAGGTATATGGTTTTGGTTGGATATGTGATAACGGTTTTATACTTAGGTTTATCGATATGATTTATTTGATAACATAACGTTATTAGTTATGTTTTGATATATCGGTCTCATGCCTAATGGATATTAAAGAATAGAATAAAATGATATTCATTCCATATAGTTTACAGCTTATATACATCCCACTGCTGGGCACAGGTTTCCGTTCATTTTTAAGAGGATTTTACGGCTAGAAAATATCCGCCGCTCTGCCCCATTGCGTGTTCGCGGACTTCACGTCTTCGAAATATTTTATTTATAAGTTCTCAGACATGCAGGTATTCTCACGATGTTTTCATTTACGGTCGAACATGTGGTAAATCAGCATTTAAAATCGCAATTAACAATTTCATTTGTGTTGAAAGTTAATTTCTTCATTTACCACTGGTTCGTTAAATACCTCTGTCCTGGGGAGAAGCAGTAAGAAACCCAGCAAGCAAAGAAAATGGTCATCAAAATCTTTTACAAACACTTAAGGTTATAAATAAAATAATATTTGTTATATTGTCTTACCAACACTGTCTAAATAATCACCCTCATGTGTATGCTTAAATATAAATAGATGATATCTTGCTTGATCACTTGGCACTTGTTTAGGTAACTCTGTTGTTTGTATCACAGCCGCTTTCGACAAATGGATCTTTTCTTCATCTAAATCTGGAAAGGAGTAAATAAGTTCGAATTTTTAATTCCGAAAGAAATAGTCTTAACACAGTCAGGGTCAGTGTGATTGCAGCATCAGTCAGCTTTACACTAAATATTTAAAGTTACAGCCTCATTTCCGAGAGGGTTTTAGGGCAAGGAAGTGTCCGGCACTTACTATTTAATGCATTGTATTCTATCTCATTATTTCTCAATATTATGCAGTGGCGAAGCCTCTATAGAAGCCGAAAAGCCGGACTTGCCTTATCAAACTGAATCAATCAATAATATCAACTAATAAAATAACTCATAAACTGTTTCAAACTATTTCAAATTTCCCGCGCACTCCACTGTTCGATACAGGTCACCTCGTATTGCCTTAGCGATACTGCTGCTGTCATAAAAATGAGTTTTAATAGAGCGATTCGTCGTCTCTCTCGCTCGCGTGGGCTTTTTACGGGGCTTTCGAGAAGACGATCGCTCTCTTTCCAACCTATGGCAAAATATTCTATAATGAAATATAACTACGATTGTATATATATCAATTACTATAGAGAGTTAAAGCCAGGCTTTAGGAATGCGGAGGCGCGCGGGCAATACGTTTGCAAGTTCATTTCACATTTCAATGTTTATTTACTCTGTGTGTTGAGCTTAAGTGATTTAATATTACGAGTTAAAAAAATAATTTATAAATAAAATTTCAACTCGCAATATTAAAAAGAATATTAATTAAAGTGCTAATCGGAGAGGAAAAGGTAAAATCTTTAAACTATATTGAGATAATACACAAGGTCAAGAGTGTATTTCAGACTTATCAATTATCGCAATAAAAAAACAGTTATTGGTACAATTAAGACGTTCACCAACATTTTATGCGGACGTAATTAAATCTTTCCTTAAGAAAGAGAGACGATTCCATTTAGAATGTAAATATATTTGTTTTTTTTTTTACTTTTGTACATTGGTTGTACTTTGTTCATCTATTGTATTGTATGTAAATATCTTTTTCTTTCGCTCAAACAAACCCAAACGGCTTTTTTCAAAGCCATCGAAGCTATGCAATTGCCGATATGTAATACAATCTATCTAGCAGTAGTATGCTTCTGTGTGCTTTGCTAAACACGTCCTTGACAGCACTGAATATGAAACGAAGAGTGGAGACAGATCAAGATTGGTGTATTTTTATAAAACTGCTAAAAACAACAATCTATATTTTCATCAATTTATATCTTGGGCTTGACCTAGTTTGGAGCTCTAGCTTCGCCACTGATATTATGTAAGTAAATAATCCTAATATCCTCTAAAAGTTAAAGAATAAAATTAGAAACTTGATCAATACTTGAAACAAAATAAAAACAGATTCATTCATCACCCATGGTTAGTAACAATGTAAATTGTTAACTATATTATGTAAAAAAGAATTAAAGTTTATAATGTATTCTTTATAAAAAAAGTATTTTTAAGATGTGCCTCATTTATTCATATACTGAGAAACGCAAACGCAAGCACATTTGGTCGGATACCAGTGAAACGCAGTGTAACGCAGAGGCAGCTCATCAAGCGAATTTATGTCTTTTGTTTTTTTCTCTTTGGTATTGACTCGTACTGTTATACTTCTGCCAGTTTCAAGTATTGTGTGTGAAATTATCTTATTAAAATAATTTTTGCAATATGTTGACGTGACACATCCACATATTGTCTCAACGTGACAACATTGTGCAGTTTTTGGGAGATTTTGACAGCAGCTTGAGCCGACAGCAGCTTGAGCAGACAAGCAATCGATGACGACAGTAGCCATAGGCTACGGTCTCCTATTAAATGCTCTACGCGACGTCCGACTTCAGTGTAAACGTTCCGATCGGCGTCTGAACGTCAGGCACAGCGTCAGCGGTCAATACATATCTTCGGACGACGTCTAGACTTTCGACCAAACAACAGTTAAGTAGCCGACAGTGGTTGTGTGTGATATTTGTACATAAAATGGATATAAATTCAATACTTTTGGCGGCGCTTGTGTTACTTGAAGAAAAGGCCCAAGACGAAGAAAAATAAAGGCAACAAGGCACCGATTATTTATAAAGAGAAATGAAGAAGGATGTTACCAGCTATTGATAATGAAACACTTAAAAGACAGCAATTCTAAATTTACTGAATATTTACGTATTAATCAAGAACAATTTTAACATAATAATAAATCAATAACTCGTCTTTTTCTTCATTAAATTTTGTCATTTTGTACTGACGCTAGACACGACCTTCACGCTGCAATGGTTCGAAATAGCTAGAGACGCAGGGCAAAGCGTCTTAACGCTGCCTACGCCGTTCATACGCCGACATCACCTTGTGAAAGAGACCACAACAGTACATTTCTATAGTAAGCAACGTAACGCGGCGTACGGCGTTTATAGGAGACCACCGCCTATCTAAAGGTGTCGCTGAAAGACACATTTTCTTTAAGGTTCACAACACTATCGGAGCACTTGTTTCATCACATTCACTAATAGTTCACGCGCGCGGACATTTAATACAGATAGTCACATGGCTTATATTATTTATAAAATAAGGGCAGAAATTCGCCGGTGGTCAAGTTACCGCCAAAACCTCGTGGCCGCAATCATACGATACGATGCGGTCTGCTTTAGTGTGTATTAGAATTTGGGAAAGTACATTTCACGATATTGACATAACAACGCGACATGGTTTTACGAACGAAAATTTCAATTAAACTTGTATAAACTATAGTATGATTTTACCCTTTCATCATCATCATCATCATCACAGCCCTTCACAAGTCCACTGCTGAACATAGGCCTCCCCCAAGTAATGTCACAAAGCACGGTCCTGAGCCACCTGCATCCATCGACTTCCTGCATATCTTACCAGGTCGTCACTCCATCTAGTGGGGGTCGCCCTACACTACGCCTACCGGTACGAGGCTGCCACTCGAGAACCTTTCTTCCCCATCGGTTATCGGTTCTTCGAGCTATATGGCCGGCCCATTGCCACTTCAGCTTACTAATCCGTTGGGCTATGTCGTTCACTCTGGTTTTACTGCGGATATCCTCATTTCTGAGTCTATCACGCAGAGAAACTCCGAGCATAGCCCTCTCCATAGCTCGCTGAGCGACCTTGAGCGTCCTCATACGGCCAGCAGTGAATGACCACGTCTCTGATCCGTAAGTCATCACTGGCAACACGCACTGATTGTACACTTTAGTTTTCAGAGATTGAGGTATACCTGACGAGAAGATGTGTCGTAATTTCCCGAACGCTGCCCAGCCGAGTTGAATCCGTCGATTGACCTCTCGGTCGAAGTTGGATTTACCTAGTCGGACTATTTGTCCCAGGTAAACGTACTCGTCAACAACTTCGAGCATAGTGCTCACAACAACTACCGGCATAGGTGTGACATGGACATTAAACATGATCTTTGTTTTGTCCATGTTCATGTTAAGACCTATCCGTTGGGAGGCACTATTGAGGTCATTGAGCATAGTGCTTAAGTCCTCCAGCGATTCTGCCATAAGGACTATATCGTCGGCAAATCGAAGGTGAGTGATGTACTCGCCATTGATGTTAATACCGTATCCTTTCCAGTCCAGTAGCTTGAAAACGTCTTCCAAAGCAGCAGTGAAGAGTTTCGGGGATATAACGTCACCCTGTCTTACACCTCTCTGCAGTTGGATAGGTTTCGAGCTCTGGTTCTGTACTCGGATAGCCATCGTAGCCCTACTGTACAAACACTTCAGCACTTCGATATACCGACAGTCAACTTGGCACCGCTGAAGGGACTGCAGCACCGCCCAAATTTCGACGGAATCAAAGGCTTTCTCATAGTCCACATACGCCAGGCAAAGTGGCAAATTGTACTCTTCAGTCTTCTGTACAATCTGCCGCAGGGTATGTATGTGGTCTATGGTACTGAAGCCTTTTTGGAAACCGACTTGTTCGGGAGGCTGGAAGTCGTCGAGTCTGCGTGCGAGACGATTCGTAATGACTCTCGAAAACAGCACGTAGACGCGGCTCAGAAGGGAAATCGGTCTGTAGTTCTTCAAGAGAGCGTTGTCGCCTTTCTTAAAGAACAAGACCACCGCACTTCTGCTCCACGCCTCTGGAGTAGTGCCACCATGGAGGACGGAATTGAAGAGCTTCTGAAGGACTTCAAGTACCGGTGTTCCACCCGCTTTCAGAAGCTCCGCTGTAATCCCATCCTCGCCTGGAGTCCTGCCGTTTTTAAGGTGCTGGACCCTTTATTAATTATGTTTTTGTTTTTTAACTATTTTAATATTTTTTGGCGACGTGGTGGCTCTTTAACAGCTAACATTGTCTTTTTACAGTGTGTGCTCCGTGGAGTTGGGCCGCTGTGACCGAATTTCGCTCTCTAGGACAATAACAGGAGGCAGCCATGGTTTATTACAACATCTATGACTTCTCA